ATCGCAAACACAGTGGTCCCCAACAATGTGGGGAAATCGCAAATAAAAACCACTATTCTTTTCACCTAAGAGACCACCTCTCTAGGAATTTCCAGGTCTTCCAATGCAACTCCATGGTCAACTGCCAGAAGTTGACCATAGAATCATGCTGGAGGACCTACAAATTCCTAGAGAAGTGTTTTCTCTAGGAACTTCTAGGTTCTCCAGCACAACTCTATGGTCAATTTCTGGCAGAGTTGCACTGAAGGACCTAGAGATTCCTAGAGATAACATAGTAATCATAACTGTAAATAATCAAAGCCACAAAAGTCAAAGCTGCAAATGTGGAGGGCCAACTACAATTAATCAACTTACAGCATAATGCTGTTCCTATATACTCAGAGGGAAATCACAGTGAGTTCAATGGGACATGCCTGGGTAGGTGGCCATGCTTTCTGGGGAACTATAATAGAACATATCTGGAGGGTATTGGGCTGGGGAAGACTTGTCGGTTCAATTTCAGCATCAACATTTGCATATTGATTTGTTTTTTATAAATCATGGAAAAGACTGGTATAGTATTTCTCTTTAAGGAATAACACTGCATATGTGATATAGTGAAAGCTTGTGTAACACATTGTCTAAGAGGCACTGCTGTTTTAATCTCACTTCAATCATAAATGTATTTAGTCACCACCAGGCTCCCACTGTATCAGAGCTTCAGTTTCCTAATTGTAACATTCATTAAGTATTGAAACTATCTAGCTTTGCCTTGGTTAAATGCGTGTTAGTCTGATTCCACTCTGCCCCTATGCTCCTTCCCTACCCTTCCCTTCCCTTCTCTTTTCTCTTCTTTTCCCTTCTGCCTTCTCATTGGTCTTTATTTCCCTCCATTCAGTCAGTATTCTATCAGTTTATACCAGCTTCACATAGGTTAGAAATCCTTTGTCCATTTTGCTTGTGTGCTGTTTCCTTTCTCCCACCTTGCTCTCTCCCCACCCCATTTTATGTTGGCTTTTTCCTCCCTAATCATCCTTTTCATCTCCCTAACTCTCTTCTTCCACCATACCAGAGATCAGGATGTTCTCTCTCCCTCCCCTTTCCTTCTCTTTCTGACATGGTCAAGTAGGCACACGAATCTCTTGGATAAGGACACTTCGTGCCAGTTGCCCCTTCTATACCTTTGCCCTGCTAGACTTTTAGTGCCTCTTTTTCCTTGGGTGGTAATTGGTCACCAAGACATCCATCTTATGCTTTTCCCGAGACATGGATATAGGGTTTTCATTCTAGTTCCTTTCAATCCAGGCAGCAGTTATTTGCATATTGAGGAAATTGCTAGCTCATTCTGCAACTCATGTAGTGAGTGGGTCATGACAGATTTGGCCAGCAACTATCTGACTGACTTTCCACTTAGTATCACCCTTGAAAGGCCAAACCTGTCATGATCATCTACATCACCCCTTTCAAGGGCCTTTATAGACAGGAAACAGAACGTTGGCTTTCCTCATAATCTTTGCACAGGGTACCCAACCTGCAGCCCAAGGTGTTTTGTGCACTTGTGTCAATGCTTTTCTCTATCATATTTTCATCTCACAGGCTTCCTGATCTTTTAACAGATGCTAGAGATGCAGATATTCAACAGGCATAGCTTTCCCAGGAAGGGGGATTCCACAAAGTTTAGGATCCTTCTGGAGGCATTGAACTCAAATTTGAAAAACAGGCAAAAGAAATCAACAACAAAAAAAGGAGCTGCAAACACCAATATTAGATCAGGCAAGGTTGTTGGAGCCAGAGAGCTGAAATGTACCCCACAGAGAAACAAAAATATGCAAGCAGATCACCCAATAAAGATCCCTCCCAATGAATGAAGTCATACACATTCACAACTATATAGACTATATAGTCATATACTGTATATGACTTAGGTTGCCATACCTTGAGTTAGTGAGAGCAAGATGTGGGATAAAATTTCACCCTCCAGTGAAATGGTTCTGGGGGAAAATGCATTGTGACATTTCAGGCATAGGAAAGGGAGGAGGCTACTACACATAGCTTTTAACTGTGATTACAATAGGTTCAGTGTAGATTTAACAAAGCTAAACATTACTACAGTGATTTTTCACATGAACTAAACTTTTATTTTCAGTTTATGCAATTACTCAATCAGTGGGGAAAATCTGGATACAGACTGACATACTAGCTAGGCTAGGAGTACTATAAAAAGAACAAAAGACACAGATGGACTCTTATTCTGTAAGGAAATGTTTCCTAAAAAAATGAAAGTCACAAGACCTCAAAATCCCATAGTCTCTTCACTGAAACACTACTATATTAATAATAAACAGGAAATCTCATGTACTGTTGAGCTAAGCAAGGAAAAAGTCTGAAAATGACTACCAATGGAAGAATGTTCTCAAAAGAAAACTGAAGTGTCTTCTCTTTTTGACATGGAATATGTTACTTTCTTCCTTTCCAGCAGCCCATCTGGTTCCTGTTTCTATTTGTCTGATCTCCCAGAAATCTCCAGAACATTGGCCCAAAATTCCCTGAGGAACAGAGTCCTTTCCAAAATAACACATGAACTTATTTTTATTTTTTAATTTATATGTGTGTGTATATGTGTGTGTGTGTGTGTGTGTGTGTGTGTGTGTAGATAGATAGGAAGGTAGATAGTCTGGTTAGAAATAAGGGCAAGAAATTTATGGAAGGGTCTCATTTTGAGTCTCCCATTAACAATTTCATTGTGGCCTGAAGCTCATCTTAAAGGTTTCTCCACCTGTTGCCATTGCCATTATCACAGCCAGCACCCTTTTCCATCTGGTACTATTCTGCAAATAAGAATGTAGAATAAACTCTAATGATGCTGCTGGGTTCTTAATCTAAAGCAGTTGGATGTATCAGTCTTCCACCTCCCATGTTAAATTTTTGTACATGTGGACCCAAAAACATTTTGTTTCCTTTAGTTTATCTTGTCCAGTAGTAACTGATCCCACTGTAGAAAGTCTCAGGTGTAATTTGCTTCATTTCTATTTAAAGACATCTCAACAAATCAGAAAATACCTCTGACAGACTCTTTGGAGAGCTATTGCCAGTTGTATGAAGTAATATTGGGTTAGATGTTCCAAAGTTCTCTAACTCCTTGGCCTGCTTACACTTTAGTTTTGACTAGATTTAATTGTCTGAGACAAGATGGAGGATGTGCTGGTCAGTAGAATACCTGGGATTTATCCTGGCATAGAAAGGCTCATGCTCTTCCTGAAACATCAGGATTGTACAAGTGCCTTGTGATCCTGTCCTGTCTCTAGATCTTCAGATGGCAACTGAGGCAAGTGCTGTGCTTAACTAGATTTAGTGTAGTGCTATGACCATACTTGAGTTAGTTTAGACTATTGTAGTGTGTTTTCTGTGGGGCTGCTTTTGAGGAGTGTCTAGAAGCTTCAAAGTGAGCACATTAACCATGATTTTATCACCCCAATACTGAAGATCTGTGCTGGCTTTCCAGATTCCATTCAGGGGTTGAGTATGAACCTTTAAAGTCCTAAGTGGTCTAGAGCTTGGCAACCTGAATTCACCTGTTTTGGTATAAACCTACACATTATTAGGATTAGATAAATAAATCATCTTGAATATTACAACTGGTCCCAATTGTCTTGGAAGAAGACTGCTTGTCACTCCCAAATTCTGGAACATAGTAGTAGAAACTTATAGGGAAGGAATTACAAAAATATCATACATAATCTAACAACAGAAGATTTATGAAAGAAAATCATGATTTGTACCATCGCTAATAATTTATTTGTGATGTATGGTATTGTATGGATGATATTTGTTTTTGTATATGAAGGGAGGGGTAGGTGGTGGGTTAGGAAGGGTTAGGATAAGGGTTGAGGTTTTAGAATGTATGTGTATAGGTATGTGTATATATGTTTGTCAAATTTGTTTGCATGTTTCAATAAAATTTATTATAAAAAAAACAAAAACAAATTCTGGAACATACTGTCTCTTAGAAGTGGCATTCGTTCCCAACCTCTATATGTTTAGAGAAAGGCTTGATGATTTGTGTTTTTGGTTGTTAACAACCCAATGTGACCCCAAAACCTAATTTGTCAGCCAGGCATCACTCCAGCTGAAGGATTTCTGAGTTGCTGCAGATCGGTCTGCTGGGAAATGACATCTGTAGCACTTTCCCGGGCTGTATTAAGAGAAGATGTTGTAGCAGGAGAAACATATTAAAACACTTTTAAAACTATTTATTTATTTATTTATTTATTGTAATAAAATAAAGTATTCATTAATCTCCTTTCAGCTTCACAGAGTTCCCAAAATGAGGCACAGCAGATTAAAAACATTTAAAAAAAAAAAAGATTATAATTCTTTTAAAAACCTTATTTTTAAATGCCAATATTCTTTAGGAAGAGTGTAAAACAGCTCTCAAAGTCAGCATAAGACTGATTTTTAAGGACTGAAGGCCTTGTGGAACAATACAGCTTTGGCTTCCTACCAGAGGCTCAATAGAGATGAAGCCAACCTGACTTCCCTTGGGAGGGAGTTCTATAATCTGTTGATCGATGTTTTTATT